CTAACCCTTTGAAGATAATGGTTCAAAATGTCTTAAAACCAAAACTGTTTATTGTGGTTCCCCTGACCTAATCAACATGTATTATGATATACAATTTATTTTCCAGTGAAATCGAGTATCAAAAACAACTAAATTAAAGAGTAGAATGTCACCCTGGCTGGTGTGGCTCAGTTGGTTGGGCATTGAATTGTATACCAAAGGGTTGCTGGTTTGATTCCCCATCAGGGCATGTCCCTAGTGTGGGGTGTGTAAGAGGCTGTGGATTGAAGTATCTCTCTCCATTGATGTTTCTCTTTTTCTCCCTCTCCCTTCCTCTCTTTCTCTCTCTGGAAATCAATAAAACATATTTTAATAAAAAGAATAGAATATCATATTCTGAAGTTCTGTGTAGAGATTTTGCAACCCAGAAAGGGGAAGCCTCATCCTAGGACTTCGTCTGTTCATCTCCACATGAATATCCAACTGTGACTTTACCCCTCCACCAACATGTCTAAATGCCTTTGAAACTTACCATCTCCCCAAGTAAACTCTACATAATTGGCACTAAATTCGTCCCTCCCCCCCGCCCAGTTTCCTTACCTCCACAATGGCTCAGGACAGAAAATGACGATATTGTTTTGCTCAAAAACGCAAGCCAATTTATGAGATGTACTGTTGGCTCCAGCTACTGACTTTATCCAGATCAGTCCACTTCTTACGGCCTTTCCACATGGCCCTCGAATGATGTTATAAATATCCAAATGGCCCTTGGCAGAAAAAAAGGTTCCCCACCTCTGGATAGGAAAGAGGGCCTCTCACCCTCTATGAGAGGTAAATACAAGTCCAGGTGAAGACTTTTGTAGGTGCCATATGAGGGAAAGTAGAAGGTCTTTATTCCAGATTACATAACTTTTCTGGGTGACACAGAAAGGAGGTGGACTTTTTAAAATGACTTTGAGAGTAATCGAAGAAAGGAAAACAACCAAGAAGCCCAAATTCAAAGTTAGGGACCTTTGTTTTATACTCACTACTTTCCTAGGGTGTCACAGTTTCTCCAGCATTGTTCAGCTGCATGTGTTAGGGTTAGGGTCTGGTTGGGCAGTGATAGCAGAAGGACATGGGTCCATGGGAACTGAGAAGACTGAATAGGGCAGGAAGGGAATCAGGAGAAGCCAGATACCCAGGGGAAAAGTTAGAGAAAATAGAGATCTATGTCTAAATGAAGAGAAAATGTTAGGGACAATGAAAGGGCCTAAAAAGGGTGAGTTTGTTGTTAGAGAACTGAACGTTGTGTTTAACAATTTCTGACGTAGGACAATTCTGAGTTCTCGGTCTTTGGGTTAGGGAAGGTGAAATGGAGGGAAGATATCCAGATCTGAGGTGGAGGGACTTTGAAAGCAGTGGATATCCATTCATCTACTGATGAGCACTTGGGCTGTTACCAGATCTTAACTATTATAAATCGCGGTACATTTACACTATGGAATAGTATACAACAATAAGAGAAAAAAGGATCTCTTACCTTTTGAGACTGTATGGAGGGACTGGGACAGTATTTTGCTAAGCAACATAAGCCACTCAGAGAAAGTCAAGTATCACATGATCTAATTCATATGTAGAATCTAATGAACAAAATAGATCCAGAGACATAGAAGCATGGAAGAGACTGTTGAATATCAGAGATGGTGGGTGGGTGAGAGAGGAAGGAAATAACTTGTATGTATATATGAATAACCCATGGACTCAGACTGTGGTGTGGCAAAGGCCTGGGGCAGAGGGCAGGTGCAGGCCAGAAAGGGGAAAAAGAGGAATATATGTAATACTTTCAACAATAAAGATTAAAAATTTTAAATTAAAAATTAAAGAAAATGAAACAGTGGATAAATACACATGAACATGAAAATCCATCAAGATAATAGTAATACTTGAGTTGAAGAAAAACATTAAACTTGAGCAAAGCTTTTGTGGCAGAAAGATAACAGGTTAATGTTTATAATCCCTTGTTATCTGAGGTGGCATTTAGCAAGCTGTGCTCTTAAAGAAAAAAAAGGGGATGTAATATTCTTAGAAGAGAAAAGGGTTTCATTTATGACAAGGAAGAGCAGGACATATTTTGTTGAGCGGGTTAGAATGTAGAATCATGTTGACTACAGAAAAGGAGTTTTAGAAAGCAAAGAAAAAAAAGTTTAGGGGTATGAGTAAAACTCTTGCAGGGAATAAAATGATTAAACTATTATTAAGCTATATTTCTTGGACTTGCCCACACAACCCTTGTTTGTATAGCACCTGTTAACTTCTTACAGAAGTAGTGCTGTGTGGATTACGGCTTGGGAAGCATTGGCAGAGCACTCAGGGATAGCAGGCTGTGAGGCGTTCCGCAGTGCAGTTGGTGCCAGGTCACGGTCAACTCAACTCTGAAGGTATCAGGATGAGCCAGATCCAGGCCACCCAACTTGCTGGACTGTTTCATGGCCACTTGTCTTTTCAGTTCAGCTATCTAGTGGCCTCTGTGAAATCAGGGGCTATTGTGATTTCTTTCCATCTCCGCAACATGTGGCTTATTATTGAACATATTAATAAATGTTACATAAATATTTATTTTTACTGAAGCTGGCAGGGAGCAAAATAAACTCACAACTTGTTTATTTACTGCTTTTTTCTGCCTTTGATGGAGATTTCTTTTCCTTTTAGGTTTTTAACCTGATATTAAATACCCAAATGTTTAACAACTTTGACTTATACCTTTTAATACCTCATGTACCTACCTATGTACTATCTTTAATAATTTTTATGAAGTGGGACTAGAAAAAAGCTCCAAAAAGAATATTTGATATTGCTGATAAGTGAAGTATTTATTCTAGTTATTGTTAGAAAAAAAATGAAGAAATAGTTGGGCAGATTTGCGACACAGCTAAAGCATTCATTTAAAAGTTGGGTTGTTTTTTTTTTTTTTTCAACTAAAATTTTAAAAAGTATAAAATCTATTTTAATGTTTTGAGAACCTCCATACTGTCTTCCATATTGGTCACACCAATCTGCATTCCCACCAACAGTGTGCTAGGTTTCCCTTTTCTCCATGTCCTTGCCAACACTTGTTTCTTAATTTATGGACAGTAGCCATTCTGACAGGTGTGAGATGATACCTCATTGTGGTTTTAATTTGCATTCCTCTTATGATTAGTGATGTTGAATATATATATGTGTTGGTCATTTGGGAACATTTCCAAAGAAACTCGAAACACTAATTTGAAAGAATATATCCATCCCGCTTTTTATTGCAGTGTATTTACAATAGCCCATCAATAAATGAGTGGATAAAAAGCTGTGGTACATTTTAACAATGAATACTTTGCAGCTATAAAATAGAAGGAACTCTTACCCTTTGTGACAGCATGAATGGATTCAAGGGTATTATGCTAAGTGAAATAAGCCAATCAGGGGAAGACAAATACCATATGGTTTTACTTACCGGTACCTGTAGAACCTAATGAAAAGATTAAATAAACAAATAAAATAGAAACAGATTCATAGACACAGAGAACAGAATGACAACTATCAATGTGTGTGTGGGGGGGAAGAGTGGAGAGGGATTAGGGATCTCAGTAAAAGAAATGAAGGTATTAAGCAGTACAAATTGGTAGTTGCAGAATAGTCATAGAGACATAGATTACAGCATAGGGAATAGAGTCAATAATATAGAAGTAAATAAGTAGTGGGCCAGGTGGCTACCACTCTGTAAAGTACATTATTTTCTAACCACTTTGTTGTATATATGAAATAAAGAATAATATTGAATTTCAACTTAAAAAATTTTAAAAATTTATAAAATACACATATTTGGCCAAAAAAATGTTATAACTATCAAGAAGTTACCCTTGGAATTCTTTAATTAGCTGTTACTTTTTTTTACTGTATTAGCAAATGTGTGTTTGTGTATAGAAGAGAATATATGTAAGTATAAATATATACTATATACAGAAACATGTAGAATTTAATATAGGAATACAAATGAAAATATAATTTATAATATGTATTATTACACAAAAGGTAGAGAAAGGGATGCATGTGTTTGAATATGCAAAAGTCAAATGCAAATTATTACCTGATTTCATTGGGGCATACAAAAGCCAAGATATAAAATAATTGAATATTTTAATTTTTAAGAGTGGTACAGTTATGAAATGTACTTGGTTTTTTAAAATGCTATGTGTTATACATTTATTAATATTCTTCAGTGAGGGCATTTGCCTCCAGCTAAATAAGAGAAAAAAGTAAGGGAACCGATAAAAACTCCAGTTTCCAGATTGTTTGATGTAATGTCCTCCAACATTAGCAGAGTTTAATCTGTTGTTCTTAGGACAGAGTTCCAACATTTATTGATGAAATCTACCTCCTTTGATAGCATAATTCACAGTGTAATATAAACCCAGACTGTTTAAATTAGGTTCTGCTAGTCTATTTTTCTCAGCGTAGAGATGTGGATGGAGAGGTTCAAAAATAAATTGTCATAAAAGCACCCGCACAGCCTTCCTCTCCTGAAGAAGCCCCAGTGTTTGAGAACCTGGGAAGTCACATGCATTAGGGATCTTTACTTCCATTATTGAGACTTACCTTGACCTGCAGGTCTTAGCTCAGGTTTGGTTTATTTGTGTAGAATGGAAATCTTCTCATGCCCCTGGACCCAGGAATCAGTTGAATATGTTGTTAGACTCTTGTTTTTATTCCACTTTCTCCCTTGTTTTAGTTTCAGTGAAAATATTTGCTTGTAAACTGTCCTCCAGTCAGGCTAAGAAGAAAAGCAATTTCTACTTAGACTAACCTTCCCATATATACAGAAGAGAGGGGGGGAAAAAGATTTTTCAAGGGTAGTATAGCAAAAAATACCCTATTACAAAAGCTTTGGTACAATTTTATTTCTCCTTTGAAGAAGTATGTCTGATTTTAGAGTGTAAATAGTACCAATCCCCCATAGAATATACTTCACACTTCTAATTCTTTCTAATTCTTTTTTAATTATTTAGACTTCAAGGAGACAATTTGGCAGAAAGAACAGAAGAGACGTCACAAATACTTCCTTTTCCAGGTGAAATAATCCTGGACTCTTTGAGTAAGTTTTAAATCCCACAACATCTACATAGCTGCCTGTCATATGTGTACCCCTCCTTCAGGATGGGTAGCAGGAGGTTAGGGGCAAAAGAGAATGGATTCCGAGGAGCAGGCTCTTAATGTCTGTGCCTGTTTGGGGTACAAACAGCTCCACTATATGTTGGCTATTCCCAAAATGTATCACTAATTCCAGCTTGTTTGGGGTACTGCATATTGCTCACTCCCATTCTCACATCTTACTGTTTTACTGTATGAGCAAATGTGTGTTTGTGAATAAAAGGGAAAATATGTAAGGAAAAGTGTATATTATATATATAGAAAAATGTAGAATTTAATATAGAAATACAAATGAAAATATAATTTATATAAAATATGTATCATTACACAAAAGGTAGAGAAAGACATGCATGTGTTTGAATATGCAAAAGTCAAATGCAAATTATTACGTGATTCCATTGGGGCATATAAAAGCAAAGGTATAAAATAGTTGAATATTTTGATTATTTAATAAATACATCCCTTTACTCTGTCCTGGCAGAAGTGTCAATATTATACATGATTTTGTTCCCTCTCTCCTCCTTATATTGAATTGTTCTCAAATCATGTCAATGTCACTTCAGAATTGCCTTTCCCAGCCAGCCTCCTCTTCATTTTCCCTGGTGCTCCTGGTCTGTGTATTTGTCCCCTTTGTCTAGTTTAATAGCCTTGTTTGTCTCACCCCTCTTTAGCTCATTATCTTTTTTTTTATTTTTTAAAAAAAGCTGCTTAGAACACCTTCATTTTTTGTACTACAAAATTCAAACTCTTCATCTTAGCATATGCAGTTAACAGCAGGGTACTCCAAAATGGTTGCTGAATAAATAAGCACGTGTAATGTCACTATGATGGCCTTAAAGGTACATCACTGCTTCATCATTCCATATTTTAGAGGAAGCAGTTGGACATCCAGCTGGGATAATTAAAAGAGAAACAATAGGGGAAAAATTTTTTTCACATCTGGATAGAGGAAGACGTCTTAAACAAGATAGAAAAATTCTTAACTATGAAATAAAAAATCAACTCTAGGAAGTTAAAAACTGTTCATCAAAGAATGCCATAAAAAGTGAATAGCTATTCCACAAAGTAAGAAAATATATTTGAAGTATATTTGTAACTAATCAAATATTAATATTTAGAATACATAAAGAACATCTACATTTTTTTCTTTTTTGTTCAACCCCTCCATTCCCTGAACATCTACAATTTAATAAAGGTCAAAACCAGTAGGAAAATAAGCAACAGGTATGAATTGACATTTTACAGAAGAGGAGAAACACTATTGGCCAATGAACATTTGAAAGATGCTTAACTGTTCTGGTAATCAAGGGAAAGCAAATTAAGACCACAAAGAAATGCTGTGTTATAACCAATTGCTTGCCATTAATTAAGAAATTTGGCAAAACCAAGTGCTGTTGATGACATTGATGAAAGAAAAGTCATACACTGCAGGTGAGAATAAACAGTTTTGGAAACTTTTCCATTATCTTAAATTCTTGAACATTGATATAACCTAAAACCCATGCACTCCACTTCTAAGAAAATACCTTAGTGAAACAAGTCTTGTATCATGAAATGTGGACAACCCTTCTTAGTATGCTCCCAAAGAGGAAAATGGATAGACATTGCGGAACTGGTATATTGTAGGAAACTGAATGACTTTCAAGTATACATAAGATGGATGAAACTATTGGAATGCTAATAAATATTACCAACTGTTTCTTTGTAAAGAGAGAGCCCTGATTTGTAGAAATTGGTGGTTTCCATAATATGCTCCCATTCAAGTTGAAATCATGTAACCCATCTGAAATGGCAGCTAGGTCTCCCAACTGGTAAGAGCAGGATAAAGTTCACAGCTGAATAAATCTTAAAAGCATAGTATTGATTTGGGTAATAAAGCAAATCATAGGATGAAATTTATGTAAGAGCTCAAACCTAGCAAATCTAAGTAATATGTCCTTAAGAAGGCATACATAAGTGATAAAACTATTTAAAGAAGTGAATGCAAAGCTCAAAATGGTGGTTATTGTCAGTGAGAAGAAGACGCAAGGAGGTAAGATAAGAAAGTTGAGCAAAGGAATATGAAGACTATTGAAAAGTTCTAATTCTTAGATTAGGTTGTGTCTAGGGTATTTATTGTGTTTTATAATATAAAAACACTATATATTATGCATAAATACTGTATATTTTGAATATGCTTTTTATATGTCAAGTATTACCCAATAAACATTTAAAAGTAAAGTGCAATGGGAACATACACTAATGCCATTGTGTAGCATGATATAATGAAATAATGATAGTTTACATTCCTTCAAATCTCTTATAGAACTAGTGACATGAAACACTTGAGATTTTAACACTGACAGCAGAAGTTGAGCAGAGTATAGTGCGTTTGTTGGTCTTTTGTTGACACAAGACAGATATTATTTAACTACTGGCCCATTATTTTTTAAAAATTCTCTCAAAACCACTCCAGTCCACCAATCTACAAGTCTGTATCTTCAGCAATCATATTGACAATAACTGAGAATTATAGAACCTCAATTTTTTTGGAAATTTAAACAATACACCAGTAATATGTTTATTATATTTACTTGTATCCACTGGGGGGAAATGTATTTATTACATTTAAGGTCTTTTCTTAAACTTCTGCATTCTTTTTTTTTAAAATATATTTTATTGATTTTGTACAGATAGGAAGGGAGAGAGATAGAGAGCTAGAAACATTGATGAGAGAGAGTCATCGATCAGCTGCCTTTTGCACACCCCCCACTGGGGATATGCCCGCAACCAAGGTACATGCCCTTGACCGGAATCGAACCTGGGACCCTTCAGTCCCCAAGCCGACGCTCTATCCATTGAGTCAAACAGGTTTCGGCAACTTCTGCATTCTTGACATTCAAATATTTCTAGATTCAATGAACAAATCTAAAAACATGAGTTTCTGATCCAATATATTCTTTTTCACTTACATTAATCAAATAACTAGATTCAATAATTCAATATTATTGATATTATTAAAAAGTGCCCATTGATTTTTATTTCAGCTTTGTATCCACACTGAGTTTGGTTCAAAAATGTTTTTTTTTGTGTGTGTGTGCATAAAAAGCCTATTGTGACACACACAGCAAAAGTAAAAGTAATGGCAGGAAAAGGATGAATAAAGCTAAACTCTAGAGCTTTCTAGATTCCTAGAAGCATGCCCAAATACAGCAAAGGTAGTTTGTAGTTCAAGTGCTGCCAGAGACTTTGATTTTAACAAAATTAATTTATCTTTCTATGTTCCAGTTGCTTCTTCTCTAAAATGAAACAATAAGATAAGCTCTAATATTTGACCAATTTAGAGAATAATTTTCCCCTCAGTGTATTTTGAAAATCATATAGACTTATAAAAGAGTAAGTACATAGGGAAAAGTAGTTTACACATATGCACACACCAATTATTGTTAATCAGCAATTTTCTAAAATACTTTTAAAAATGGAGCTCCAAGCATGAAACTAAGATTTTATTTTTAGGATATATATTGTCCCTATCGGAATGTAAATTCAAAAATATTCTGATGGTTGAAACAAAAATATCCTGGTGGGACCTCACAGTTGTCTTACACTGAATGGAATTTATCATGTTTTTAAATGTTGGGGTTTTTTTTTAATTGATTTTCTTTTTTAGAGAGAGAAGAATAGAAAGAGAGAAACGTTGATGAAAGAAAAACATCATCGATCACCTGCCTCCTGCATGCCTTATTGGGGATTGAGCCTACAACCTAGGCAAATGCCCTGACTGGGAATCAAACCCATGATCTCTTGGTCCCTTAGTCAACTCTCAACCACTGAGTCACATTGGTTGGCCAAATTTATCATATTTTTTTTTTATCCTACTAGATATTGTACCAATAAACAGGAAGAATTCAACCCAAACAAGAACAGAATTCACTCCTCATAAAAATTATTTTATATGAAGCACCTACTAGAGAGTCCCTAGTGAGTTATAGTACTTTTTGAATAAATGAATATACAAACACACAGAAATAGTTGAATGAATTGACTAATACATACATGCATTAAAAATCACTCAGAATGACAATATCTCTTTAAAATTATGAATTACTGACTGATAACTTGAAAACTCAGTTATAATGTAATATTTATAACCTTAAAAAAATCAAATCCACTAGAAAGTTGGCTTTTTTTCTCCTATATATGAAATAATTTGCTTTGTAATGAATAATAGAATATGTTAATATTACTTATTGTTAATATTCTGAGTTTCAAAGCAAATAAAATGGGAAAATAGAGTAAATACTAAAATTACACTAGAATTTACTCATAGTTCAGTAGATTATAATTCAATTTTAGAAGATTTAAAATTATGCTAATTTATATATCCTTATATAATGAGTCTATACATTGTCACTCTTATCAACTGAGTTTTAGTAAATAGGGGTTCAAGTATTCTTTGTTAGTGCATTAATATTTTTGAACTTGGTGTAATTCTCATCCTCTGTCTTGATTTTGTCAACAAAAATTTCCTTCTTTTTAATGTCTGTTTGGAAGGGTGGTAGGTAAAATTTTTAAATTTGCTTACAACTTGAGGATGTGGTGGTTATTGAATGTAAATTCTGAATCAGAAACTCTAATTATGGCTTCATGCAAAGCTTTTCATTGTCTCCCTGGCCTTGAGGGGCTGATACGGGCTTGAAAGATTTAACGCTCCCATGTTCTTCCCTGAGCACACATTTTATTAACAGAGAAACCTGCCTCCAAATCTACATGAATCTGAAGGAAAATTTTTAGGGATTCATATAATGCTTTCAAATATTAATAATTATAAGAAATCAATTTTAGAACTCTCCAGTTGTTTAAGATTTTTCCCCTTTACCGATTTTATTTTATTTGAATAGAAGGTATTAAAGCACGGACTATTCCTAGATTCTCTATATATCTGTCCTTAGTGCAGAGTTTTTTATAACCCGTATAAATCCTTGTCATCATAATTAATTTAACTCAGCAGACATATGGAAAGGGTTGTCATAATTTTATTCACATATTTGAAAGTCACTACTCATTCACTCCTCAATCTATTCAAGATAAGAAATCACAACTTATTGCTTAATACATTAAAATGGAAATTTTTCCATCATTTAATAACATGCACTCTTCTCCAAACTTTTCAGGATTTCCTATCCCACTTAAGAGAAAGAACACAAAATGGTAATTACGTTGTGTGGACAGTAAAGAAAAAAAAAGTTACTTGATAGATAAAACAAATAAATATAAAATTACAAACCAGAAAAAAAACAAATATTAAAGCCCTAACAATTAGCTGAATAAAATGCTAGAAGAAAATTTTGCCTTCTCAAAGATAACAGCAGCTCTTGCACATTCCATTCCTAACTTCATTGTGTCCTCCTACATTAAACATTCTTAACATTTTTCATAGGTTGTCTTTCAGCTGACTAAACAATATTTTGCACTCTAACTCACAAACACTGTAATTTTTTTCAACAACCAGTTTAGTCAATTTAATATCCTTGTAATGGGTTTGTATATCAAATTTAACCAATATGTGACGGTAACTTTTTCATTCTTTTGGTAAAAAATAGATTCCTTACCTGGGACTGAAGAAGCACTAATGGAGGAGGGTGTAGAATTGGAAATAGCATCTAAATTAACAGGACCTGTAAGTATATTCACTTGTTTTTTTTTACTCTCTAAAGCTAATTTATCTCATTGATAGGAAAATCTAAAAGAAGTAGAAAGGAATAGGAAACAATAACTTCAAATTAAAGAATATTTTATTTAATTTTTATTGTTTAAATTATTACAGATAGTGGTATATATATCTCCTTTTTGTCATCTTCTCCCAACCTCCCATCCCCCCACCCCCTGGCGCATGTGTATACCCACTGTGTCCCTCATAGCCATGCAGAGTGCTTATATCAGTAAGGGGCCAGCTTGATTGCAGGTATACAGCAAGGCTGCAATTAAGGAAGAAAATTCAAATGGAATGGGAGAAACTAAATCCTGGTATTAATACCCATTTGTGCACATGAGTTTTCTCTAAGATATGAGTTGCCATCTTAAACTTTAACAAGTTTATATCTATCTTAATAGAAAAATAAGCGTTTTGCATATCCTAAATGTTCACTTACAACACAAGCATGCTATTATTAAGTTATGAAGTCCTTGTGATATTTTTGTTAAACTATCTCTTTTCAATAAGAGTATATTGGAAGAAAACCAATAAGCTTAAAATTTTCAATGCAATATACTGTTAAAAGAATAAATGCAGGAATACTGAATTCATGTAAATTCTAAATATAAGGTTTATAAAAGATTCTGAGTTATTATCAAAATGACTGTGCAATATTGTGCTATCCTGAACTTAATATTTAGACTGAATTTACATACCACAATATTCTCCGTATTTGTTTGCTGAGGCTGCCATAACAAAGCACCACAGACTGGGTGGCTTAAATAGCAGAATTTTATTGTTTCACAGTTCTGGAGGCAGATCCGAGTGTTAGCAGATTTGATTTTTCCTGAGGCTTCTCAGCTTGCAGGTGGTCATCTCCCTGTATCTTCACATCATCATCCCTCTGCCCATGTCTATGTCCCGATCTCCTCTTCTTTTAATAACACTAGTCATATTGGATTAAGACCTTTCCTAATGATCTCAATTAACTCAATTACCTCTTTAAAACTTTGTCTCCGAGTATAGTCAGATTCTGAAGAACTGGAGGTTAGGATGTCAGTATATGAATTTGGGGAGATATAATTTAGACCATAACACTCTCTGATGAGATTACAGTATTTGGAACATTGCTTGGAACGAAAGATTTGATTGAGGGCACCACATTTTCTAATGGAATTTATAATAAAAATCATTTTTAAATTACTGATGAACTTAATATATCTTTGAAGTTTCCAAGGATCCTATTTAAAACTTCAAATTTGTTTTCTTTGTTATTTTATATAGTAGTTATCTCCTAACATCTATACTATGTATTAGACTTATTTTGCTTATGGTTCATTTTCTTCCCATAAGGTCTATGCAGGCAAAAATTATTGTGCATTTTTTTTCATTTTTGTATCTCTAGCATAGTGCCTAACCATAGTAGATATACAATACATACTAGTATATATTGAATAAATGAAATTTTTATCAATAATTTCTCATCATGAGATGAAAAATATATGTAGAGCCTTAGAAATCAATGGCGGCCATCAAGTTCAGCCTTTCCTCTTCATTTTCTCAGTATTCTGAACTGCTTAGCCACTTTCATGGAAGGTAAGGATGCCCATTTTATAGAAAAGGAAGCAAAAAGTCAGAGGAGCTTAGTAACAGCACTAAGCTCCCAAAGCTAAAAGAGTGAAAAGGTCAGGAGTTGAGCACTAGTCAATTTCCCTTCTCTGCCTATCCCTGTGCTTTCCTGTTTCTTTTAGGAGTTTAATCCTGTTTGTTAGATACTCTTATATATTCCTCACAACCACTTGTAACCATTGGTTTCCGTCCCATCTTTCTTCTTAACTAATCTCCACTTATTGGAAACAGGATGTCCTATTTGAGACTTTTTCAGCCAAAACACAATCTCTTCTTTCAAGAAGTTCTTATATTGTTTAGTTTGCAAAGATTTCAGCATCTTTGGTTCTTTCCCTGGACATATTCTTGCTTGCCAAGTCCCTTGTAGCGTGGGAGTTATGCCACAACCAAACCCAGGGTTCCAATAATGTTCCCACATCAGAGAGTATAATGGATACATACTCGATGCAAATATTATCTTTGAAGTATGCCCTGGGGTTGTAATAGTGTTTGTTTTGTTTTTTTAAAGGAACTTTCTGACATTTATAAACGTCATTATGTCTCCATAATCTCATAATGATAATAATGAATAATCTGTCATTCATTACTTTTGACAAAGATTTGTGTTATCTGTGAATTCTACCAAAGCCTATGTATTATACCTATCTGCCTCATATCTAAAAGGATAGAGATAGATTCTTTTTCTAATCACTTTCTAAAATTCAGGTATATCTATTTAAAGTATTTGACATACTTAATAATACCTACCAACCCGAAAGGGGGAAAAAGAAAAGTTAGCTTTTTTTGTCAAAATTGTCTTGAGTTATTACAAACTGGCTCTTAAAAGATTTTCTGCTTTCTTTTTATAGTGTTTATACAGTGCTCTCCTATGCAGACGTTTGATCTAAGTCGATGTTACTTGTTTTCATTTATCAATGATTAGATTTTGAATTCTTGAAAAGTCTATAATTCTATTTAGTCAAATTAACACTAATTCTTTTTTGAAATATGTGGAATAAAAACTGTACCTGTGTAAATTAATATCAGGATCCTGAACATAATTTGTAGGTGGTAGCTGCTTTTATTGTAGAGAAAACATGGATTTTAAAAAATTTATGTCCAATTGATGATATTTTAGTTGAAAATTCCCAAAAACATACTTCTATAATATTTCTGAGGACTGTATTTTTGTAAATTAAGAAGAAAATTGTGACTTTATATAGATATGAATGGAGAATTGAAACAAAACAACTTTTTCCTTTATTATTTTAAGAAATGCAGTATATTTTATAGCAAATTTTGAGTCATATATTGCAAAATATAAACATGCCACAAATGTTGAAAACCTTTTAGAGTAATTTCAACCCATGCTGTCTCTATTTGCTAACTTTCCATGTTGGGTATTGGATATTAATAAGTGGGTAGCAGGATTTTGGAAAATTTTCCCCAGTGGCTTCACCTGTGTCTAAAATACTTCATGAATATTTTGTGAATATTTGAGTGAAGTAAAGGCAACATTTAGTTTAGATTTTTATCGTTTCCCTAATAAGCAAGTTATTCTTTTGGAATTTCCCTCTTCCCTTCCTCCTTCTGTGTTCTGGAATGTCTGTTAACATAATCACAGCTGTGAAGATTAAAGTTGAATTTGCTAGCTAAATCTATTTGTGAAAAATGAACCAACAAAAGGAAAATCTTAGGAAGAAAATACCAAGCAGCTATTGATTATAATCTTTTTGTTCATAAATATCGTATTTATATTTTTATATCAGTGAGCCAGAAAGCTTATAGCAATGACATTTTAGTTTCACAGTTCTTATGGCATTCTTAAAAATTCTATATTGTTTTCTGTAAAACAAGCCTATGAGCATAATAAGAAAACAAAAGGATAATTAAGAAATATATTTGATAGTATCTTACTGACTTTTTCTTTTTTCTTTGTAAATCTGGTATTTGTTTTATTTATTTGCCAGCACTGACCAGCCTCACAAAAGCTGACTCTCTTTTTTCTTTTTTCTTGAACTAATTGGGATGACATTGGTTAATAAAATTACGTACAATTCTATAATACATCAGCTGTATATTGTATTGTGTGTCCATTACCCCAAATCAAGTCCCCTCTTATCACCACTTATCCCTCCTTTACCCTCTTATTTCTTCCCCTATCCCCCTTTCCAAACTCTGCTAATCACCATAAAAGTTTTGTTTTAATTCTTCATTCATATCTATATAAAGCTACAATTTTCTTGATTTACAAAAATACAGTCCTCGGGTATATTATAGAAGTATGTTTTGGGGAATTTGCAAAATTGTCTGTGTTTATGAGTTTTTTGGGGTGTTTTGCTTAATCCCTTTACCTTTTTCAAACCCAGCCCCCAATGGCCCTTCCTCTGACAGCTGTCAGTCTATTCTCTGTATCTACGAGTTTGCTTCTATATTGTTTGTTAGTTTATTTTGTTTATTAGATTACATCTATGAGTGAAATCATATGGTCTTTATTTCAGTTAGCATTATGCTCTCCAGATGCTTCCATGCTGTCACAAAAGGTAAGATTTCCTTCCTGTTTTATGGCTAAGTAGTATTCCATGTGTAAAAGTACCACAGCTTTTGTATGCACTCATCTCCTGATGGGCACTTGGGCTGATGAGCTGACTCTCTTAAGACTTTATGTAACTGATCATTATTTAATTTTCATTAGAAGAAAAATGCAAAGGACTCCTATAAGAAAAGGTTTTATAAAAAGCCTGGAATTTTTATTTTCAGGTCATTTTTCTTCTGAAAAGCTTTATATATTTGAGGAGCTATATACAACTAACTATAATGATAATAGTAATAATGATAATGACAGCACATATTTATATGGTACTTTTTAACTGATAAGCATTTTTACATACTTAATATCAATTATCTCTGACTTTTGCAATTCCTATGATTTATTTCTTAGACTTGACAACTTTGAACTAATACTACTCTAAGTTTGTGGTGATCATATTGAGCTGCCAGATGATCTAGTAACTTGTCCCAGGTCATATAAATGGGGAAAAACTAAAGCTCATATTTCTCAGTGCCCCAACACTCTTTAATAGAACTTGTCAGGGTCCATACAATTATTAAGGCAACGAGGCCATTGTTAAATTGGACGTGTAATATAGAAAGGATTAAAAAGAGAACTTTACCAGTAGCCTATATCAAAGATAGAATTATTACAAAGTAAAAAAGTAAAAGTTTGAGGGATCAAAAGACTGGTATATTTTTATGAAAGGAAGGTTCAGTAATTTGGTGCAAGAAAGACAAGTCTTGCTTGGGTCTTGGAAAAATTGCCTGTGGCAATCGTAGATGTAGGTGATTCTGGAGTCATCATTTAATAAAGTGTCTACTTA